TTAACTTTACAAAACGTTCAACTCTTTCTTCTGTATATGATATTCTTTAATGACTCGCGCAATCCGTGCGTAGAGAATAAAGAATTTATTTTTTAGAACAATAGAAAATATAGTAAGAGTCCAAAGTACTAGCTTCCAAAACGTTGTAACATTATAAAAGTGATACATATATATATATAAACTATTCATAATTAGTTATTACTAGTATTTTCATGGGAGATGTTGATCAGAAGGAATCGTATACTTGTTGATCTCATTGTGCTAATTAAGGAGCATATCTAAGTAATTTTTAATATGCAGTAAGGCAATGTACTCACTTAATTTCAGCTTTTTTCTTTTCTTTTTAAATTCTAAAACAAGATCAAATTTTAAACAAAAACAAGTGAAAACTCTAAATAGTTCAAATTTCAATAATTTTTTAATTTGATTTTGAAAATTTCAATTTTGAAAAATATATCATTTTACGTACCGCATTAATAAAAGAAATAAAAAAAATACACAAATTTAATAGATAAACCAAATAAAAACAGTAAGACTAAACTCGCATATGAACTATTGTGCAATGAAATGCAAACTTTTAAATTTTATAACATTAAAATTTAAATTTATATAATAATCCTATTCACTAAACTTTTAAAACAATTGGTCATTTAATTTAATATCAATAAAAAGTCAACTTGTGAGCAACAATACTATGATGTGGCACTAAGTGGATTGATGAAAAATGTGTTAAACTTTATATATAAAAAATTTATACTAATCCAAGATATACCACAATAGTAATTTAGAATATAAAAACATACCTAACTCTTGATACGTGAGTTAACAACAAAAATAATACAAACTAGACTAACTAATCGAATTCAATGTACAAGAAACTTTTTCATCCTTTTCTAATTAGTGAGATCTTAATGTTATTGTAGACAAGAGAAAGGACTTAGCACTACTAATAATTGTATTATATAGAGTTACTTAGCCACATTTTTGGTTATTAATGTAGCTAAATCCTTGTGTTTTAAGTAGTTTTTAGACAAATTTTATGTTTTTGATTGATTGGTTTAA